AGTTTCTGTATTGACATGTTCAAAGGTGCTTGTAGAACCAAAAACTCTTTCCGAAACATCAATAATAAAATGACAGCCCTTGAAGAGTGAATGACTTTTTAGTAACTCTATACATGTGTGAAGATCTAAATCATTAGATACAAGCATTTTGCTTGTTCCCAGATTGATATCAAACCATATCATTGCCTCAAACTTGCCTCTATCCAATTCAATAACTTCAAAGACCTTGTTAATGAAATCTTCAAATCGAATTGCCTCAGGTACTAGAACAAACTTTGTTTGATGATCAAGATACTTATAGTCTGCAATCCATCTACCATTACAAACAACTATAATACATATTGTATCCATCCTTCAAGTCAAGAAAATGGAAAATTCAGGACATATTTATACAACAATCGTGAAGTTAAGGACACGATGTCCTAAACTTTATCAACACAAGTTGCAAAACACAGTACACTATGTCCTTAATATTTAGAACAACGGTCATGAAGTTAAGGACATTATGTCCTAAACTTTATCAATACAAGTTGCAAATACATGACACTATGTCCTTAATATTTACACAGTAGTCATGAAGTTAAGGACATCATGTCCTAAACTTTATTAGTACAAGTTGAAAAAATAGGACACTATGTCCTTAATTTTTACATAGTAGTCATGAAGTTAAGGACATCATGTCCTAAACTTTATCAGTACAACTTGCAAAAATAGGACACTATGTCCTTAACTTTGATATGTGCAGTCAAAATATTAAAGATATGGTTCCTTAACTTGGATGTGTCCAGTAAAAAAGTTAAGGACATGGTGTCCTTAACTTGGATGTGTGCATTATAAAAGTTAAGGACATGGTGTCCTTAACTTGGATGTGTGCATTATAAAAGTTAAGGACATGATGTCCTTAACTTTGATGTATGCATTTTAAAAGTTAAGGACAAGGTGTCCTTAACTTTGATGTGTGCAATGAAAATGTTAAGGACATGGTGTCCTTAACTTTGATGTGTGCAGTTAAAATGTTAAGGACATGGTGTTCTTAACTTGGATGTGTGCAGTAAAAAAGTTAAGGACATGGTGTCCTTAACTTGGATGTGTGCATTGTAAAAGTTAAGGACATGGTGTCCTTAACTTTGATGTGTGCATTGTAAAAATTAAGGACAAGTTGTCCTTAACTTTGATGTGTGCAGTGAAAATGTTAAGGACATGGTGTCCTTAACTATATCAATACAATTTGCAAATACAGGACACTATGTCCTTAATATTTAGAATAACAGTCATGAAGTTAAGGACATCGTGTCCTTAACTTTATCAATACAATTTTCAAATACATGACACTATGTCCTTAATATTTAGAACAACAGTCATGAAGTTAAGGACATCGTGTCCTTAACTTTATTAATACAAGTTGCAAAACACAGGACACTTTGTCCTTATTATTTTTTAGAACAATAGTCATGTTAAGGACACCAAATCTTTAACATTATGTCCTCAATATTTACTGAACAATCACAGAGTTAAGGACGCGATGTCCTTAACGTTATCAATACAGAAAAGAAAAAAAAATCAAATTCCTAACATCTTATTCTTCAGTAACGAAATAAAAATCCACACAAACACACAAAAGCATATAGAGAAATCTGAAACTTTAGAACTTACTGTAATTTTATGGTGAATTTTGGACGATCACAACAAGTCTCTACACGTAAGTTTTAGCTGCTGCTGATCGTAAATAAGGAGCATAGGTATCGGCGAAATCCTATATAGCAGAAGGGTATTTTCGTCTGGGAGGAATAAAAGTTTATTAAAGCAGTGGCTAAAGACTAAATACATTTAAAATAGTGACTTAAAAGTAAATACATGTGTTATTACTGGCTATCTGTGCACATCTCCCTAATTTTGTCACCCCTACTTTATTGTTGGTTTTTGGTTCCATAGGAAAAGAATACTAGGAGGTTAGGACAATAGATAATAAAGTCATGGGTTTAAAGGAATTAGTTTTGGCTCGGGTAGTCATGGGTGTATGGAAGTTAAGGATTGGTGAAGGTAGGAAAGGGTAGTGGATGGAGAAATAGAAGGTGCAAGAAAAGAACTAGGAGAAGTAGAAATTGAGGGATTGACTGGTTCCACGGGCTGGAAAGTGGCAGACAAAAGAGGAGACATGGATGATAGTGTACTGGATGAGAATTGGAGTTTCATGATGGAATAAGGTGGATGTAACTATTCAGCCGGTCGTTTTGAGTATTTTAGTCACATTTCCCCATTTATTGCATCTTTTATGTATATGATGGTTATATGACTTGCCGGGTATTTGGTTTTGGTTTGGATGAATTTCGGAGTGCAATGGGAGATTTAGTCCCAAAGTTGGAAGTTTAAGTTGAAAGAGTTGACCGAAGTTTGACTTTTATATAGACGACTCCGGAATGGATTTTTGACGGTTCCAATAGCTCTATATGGTGATTTTGGATTAGGAGCGTATCCGGTTATTGATTTAGAGGTCCGTAAGTTATTTCGGCTTGAATTTGCGAAAGTTAGAAAGTTGAAGGTATGGAAGGTTGAGAAGTTTGACCGTGAGTTGACTTTATTGATATCGGGCTTGGATTTTGATTTTGGGAGTTGGAATAGATTCGTTGTGTCAATTATGACTAGTGTGCAAAATTTGAGGTCAATTGGAGTTGGTTTGGTATGTTTCGGGATTAGTTTTAGAAGTTAGAAGTTCACAAGTTCATTAGGCATGAATCGAAATGCAATTCGTGATTTTAGTGTTGTTTGATGTGATTTGAGGCTTAGAGCGAGTTCGTATCATGTTTTAGGATTTGTTGGTATGTTTGGACGGGGTCTCAGGGGGCCCGGGCGTGTTTCGGATTGAGTTCGGACCAATTGTTCTTGAATTGGATTGCTGGTTTCTGAGTTCTGGTTTCTTTCATCGCATTCGCAGAGGATGTGCCATGATCGTGTAGGTTAGTTTGTGTCATATGGTACATTAGCCTTCGCGTTTGCGGAGTAAGGGATGCGAACGAGATGTTTGAGGAGTTTGTGAATCGCGAACGCGTGAGGGGGATCACTTTCGCGAATAAGGAAGGAGAGGCAGTAGGGAGGCAAGCGATGTTCCTCGCGTTTGCATTGCCTGGGCTGTGATCGAGTAGGTGGAGGAAAGCTGGTCACCGCGTTCGCGACGAGTTCACGAAGGAGGGTTTTTTGAGCTGGGAGAATATGTTCTCCGCGATTGCGAGTGTGTTTCCGCGATCGCTAAAGGCAACAACTGGGCAGCAGTATTTAATTTCAAAATCGAGGATTTTGTTCCATTTTTTTTTATCTTTTGAGCTAGAGACCTCTGTTTTGGGCGATTTTTGAAATTTTCAAGGAGTTGATTGGAGTAAGTAATTTTAACTCGGATTTGATTATTTCATATGAACTCATCATTGTTTTTACCATTTAATTAGTGTTTTGGGTTAGAAAAATTGGAAAAATTTGTGAAAACTTCATCGACCATATTTTGAGGATTTGAAGGTCGATTTGAGATCGGAATTGAGTAATTTTAATATGGTTGGACTCGCTATCGAATGAGTATTCGGATTTTGTAAGTTTGGTCAGGTCTCGAGATGCGGGCCTGAGTTTAACTTTTTATTTTTCTTTAAGATTGTAACTTTATTGTCCGAAATAGTTTCCTATGGTTAGTATTTATAGTATAAAGTTATTTTGGCTAGATTCGAGCCGTTCGAAGTTAGATAATCGCGGGAAAGGTTTACTGATGGATTGAGTTAGAGTATTTTGAGTTAAGTGTCTTGCCTAACTTTGTGGGGTGGTGGGGGGGAGGGGGAATTACCCCTTAGGATTGGTATTTTTTGTGTTAATTGTGGTACGTGAAGGCCGTGTACGCAAGGTGACGACTGGGACATGGGCTAAATATGATAATTGACCGGTTAAAGTTGGCGTTGTTTTTGGAAATAACGGTGTTTTTGTTGAATTTAGTATCGCTTTAGCAAATAAAATTGAGGTATTAATACTTTTAGACTGCGCCAGAAATTATTTACATATGGTAGCCGAAAAAGTATATAAAACTTATATAATATTTGTATATAATATATAGAATGTATATATAGACAAAAAATATATAAATTTTATACATTTTATCGGCTATTATTTTTATAGAGACTATACAATGTCATTTTTCTAATAAATTTTAAAAATAAAAAAATTAAAAAACAATAACAAATTCAATATATTCCACAAGTGGGATCTGGGGAAAAAAGTGAAAAACAAATTAAGAAAATAGCATTTTGTTGTACAATTTTTATAGATAATTTTTTTAAGCAAATAAAAAAATTAGAAATATGAAAGGTTTTATTGCATTTATCGCTTTGGATAGTTAGAGCATGATTGGAAAGTCACCTTGAAATTGAATGTGTGTAATTGTCTGTAATCACACATTTTGACAAATTGGGTGTAATTACGAATGTGTGGCGGATACACTATGTAATAAGAAGTTAAGATAGCCAATTCATTCTATTTTATTTTTCTTTTGTCAAACAGATTACTATTCTTTTTACACTATTTTTCTTCTATTTCTCTAATTTGTATTTTTCAACCTTTCAACATGTTGCTTATGATATGCTTTCATATAGTTTTGCGACTTCTTAATTTTTATTTTTTCTTTGCACAGTTATTGAACACATTTTATATTTTACTAGTTTTTTTTTCTTCATTAGTATAGATATTTATTAAGAAATATATATTCTAAACATATATTTTTCATTTTGTTACATAAATAAATAGATCAATTTAATTACTATATTATGTAATTAAGCACCACAAGAGTGGATTGTTCTAGTGGTGAGCACCCTCCACTTTCAACCAAAAAGTTATGAGTTGAGTCACCCCAATAGCAAGGTGAGAGTTCTTGGAGGTCCAACTTGTGAGTTCGAGTCATCCCAAGAGCAAGGTGAGAGTTCTTGGAGGGGGGAGCCGAAGATCTATCAGAGCAAGGTGAGAGTTCTGGGAGGAAATTAAGCATTTATAATCAAATATAACCGTAGAAATTAATTATATTCCAACAAAAAAATACCTTGTTCGGACTTACAGAAACGATGTCGCTAATCGCGAATTATCCAAACTTTCGGTTCTTCGTCAAGATTTTCAGCTAAACTCTGATTCACTAAACCCCGAAATATTCTGGTAAGGATGGTAACAACGATGGACTGCAGGAATTGGGACGAAGACGTATACAGAGACTCTATTTTACTGGGGAGAGAATCCCAATGCCGAACTGTTTTCCGTACTGCATTCGCCACGAACCCGAATCCGAACCATAATTCTTATCCGGACCTCATCGTCGCCGCCGTTAGCGATGGCTCTTTCGCCTCTTACTCTATCTCCTCTTGCCTCGTAAGCTCAATATCTCACTCTAACTTAAAGAAGCAAAATTTATTGACTAAAGTATTAATTTTTTTTTTTTTTTTGCTTCTTCGTCTTAGTAGGATTTGAGCTCCGCGGGCAAGTAAGTTCCTATTTTCTCAATGTTTTCGAAGTGTGAAGGCATGTTTTGGTTTGAATTGGTACTTTATTTGGTGAATTTGGTTTTGTTCATTGGTACCAGTGGCTGAATCTAGTTGGCTGGTACAAAGACATGAAGGGTCCGCTTATGATGTTAAATTTTATGGCAACGATGAGGATTCACTGTTATTGAGGTATTTGTTCTTATAAATGTTTTGGTTCTTATGCATTCATTAAAATTGTGTCTTTCATTGCCTTAATAAATTAGAAGTTGATAGTGTCGATTGCTGCAAATTACTATTTTCTATGTGCTCTCCTTGTAGGAGTTTCTTACATCTTTCGCCGTCTAACTTCTGGCTGTTAATTCTGAGTTCGAAGAATTCCAGCTTTTTAGCTCTATAGTTTAGCATTTATTTCATCTAGGAGTGTATGTGTGCCCCTGCATATCATGGTCATGAAATGGACATTGGGGCAACAACAATAACATACCCACTATTATCTTACACCGTGGAGTTTGGGATGGGTAGTGTGTACGCAGACCTTATCTTTACCTTGGAGGATAAAAATGTTGTTTCCAATAGATCATCGGCTCAGGACATTGGGGCAAGCACAATATTGATTCAGATACAAAAGACACAATTTTGCTCTGTAGTTAAGCATGTGTTTCATCTAGGAGTTGTATGTGGCCCCCTTACATATCACGGTCATGGACAGACATTGGACACATTACCGAATCAGATACAAAAGGAAATTCTTTTAAAAATATGGGGGCATGACAGCTCTAATGACTATAACATAATATAGTGTTCCACTATTTTTATAAGGAATTACAAAAACAAAAGAAATGAACTTAAGGATTCAAGACATTACAACTACATAATATAGAAGAGATCCATCGAATATAACATAAATGAAGTTTAACATATGTTTTGCGTAGGGCAGGAGACAACTCTTTTTCTTCTTTGCTTTCATGTTTGGTTGAATTTGTGTCGATCTCTAGTATGCAAAGTTAATTTTGAAATACTTGTTACTTCTGAAATTATGTCTTAAGAGATCGTTTGGTTGGGAAACAAGTTATCCCATGATTAATTATCCCGGAATTAGTTATTTTGAGATTAATTATCCCTCCCTCCCATAGGATAGAAAATACACTACAATCCCGGGATAACTAATCCTGGGATTAGCTATACCATGATTTTATCCTAATCAAACGGGGGATAAACTCATCTCAGTTTTAATCTCTGAATTAATTATCATTTATTCCTCGTACCAAACGAGAAATTTATTGAAGTGGGAATAATTGACACATCTGATAGACTTTTTGTTGTCTGATTGAAGGACACTTAGTGTTCAGTATCAAGGACATGACTTGCGACACCATCTGGTTGGACTGGAGTTCGTTCCAATTATTTTTTCATGACTACCAGTGTCTGACATGAGTACAAAACAATATGCAAGCATATATTTGTGCCTATGTAGGAATCTAGGTTGTTGTTGTATGTGATTTTTTTAATGCCTAAAAAAGGTCTGGCATAGGTTTCCGGGGAAAATGTCTTGAGTATTCTTTTTACTAATAAAAATTAGTTTTAGAGAAAAAATAGGAAAAAGAGATGAAAAAAGGAGTAGACATACCAGTTCCAAACTGGCACAAATTATGTTAATTAAATGACAAAGAAGTGAGGAAAGACACTTCCCCACCACATGAAAAACTGGTAGATACTAGTCTTCAAATGTTCTTGCCTCTTTTTTTATTGGAATATAATTTTATTTTGTGTCTTTCTAACCCTCACACTTGAAGCATGGTCCTGTTTGGTTCCCACATTATGTATGTTGTGTGCCTCTGAGATATTAGCTTAGCCATAGACCAAAATCTATTGAAATAACATCCTTTTTCTGTAAGTGGTAGAAAATTTTCTGCAAGTCATATGAATTCCTTGAGGTGACTGCATTATGCTACTTTTACCCTACATTTGAATGTCCATAAGCTGTCTGTCCTGAGTTAACTCGTTGATGTAACTTGATATTAGTTTGTTCGAGAATTTAGCAATGAGTTGGATTTTTGCTGCTTCCATTTGATGTAAAGAAGAAAGGATAGTCTTCTCTGCTTATTTTTCCTCTTGTTATCACTATATAGGAGGTACATCAGAGCCAATGCTTGACTTGGTGAATCCTCAACAAAAGTAAGTTACTGAAAAACGTGAAATAATTTTATTATAATTTTTTATTACCTCTTCTGAGACCGTTGGCATCACTAGTAGGTGCTGGTATTGCATGCTTAGCAATGGATGTGCAACTAAAGATTAGTTGTTCAGGAGTTTAAATATTTTGTTGCAACCTTCCTGCTTACTTGATGGTTTACCGATATTCTCGCTAGCATACTTAGTGCTTAAGAAGATTCCTCAACGTTTTTGTTAGGTCTATTATTTTTTTGGGGTGGGTGGTGGTGGGGGGGAGTTAATAAATAAACTGCAATCAAAGCTTTACATCCACTGTTAATTCATACACTAGTTTATATTGGTCTTTAGATGACTTGTTATCTTGGCCTTATATCTGAAAATTAGTTATTGCTTACAACAGTGAAGGGTTCACTTATTGCATCTTTCCTTATACTTTATACTATTATTACTTTTCTATTCCAACCATGTTCTCATATCTCAAAGGTCATTGGGGGTGCACTTTCTCCAATTCCAGAGAATAATTGCATGGCCGTTAGTACTCAGGTTTGTTGCCCTTTAATTTTCTTCTAAATCAACTGAGTGGCTTCTTGATTGACACTTTGGAGTGAGTGGATAGGACTATAAGTCTGATTTCAGTTGATGCATTAGCTGATCTAGTCAGGACATATGAGGTATAAATAGATTGTGGTTAAGTTATCTTTTCCTAGTTAGATGCTTGTTTAGATACTGAGAGGCAAACCAGTTCTTTTACTACAGACGCTCTTAGTTATGAAGGAATGTCTTGGGTCCTTCACTATATTATAATGGTAGTTGAAACCTATGTATTGTGCAACAATAAGGCAATATTTTATTTTGTTTCCTTCTTACGAAGAAGAGAGTGGAGTGTGGTGGTGGAAGCTATTATTTTTTTCAAATTGTGCAATCTACTAGAAGTGCTAAATTTGTGGATGAACTACAAAAGAACTTCATAGTAGCAGATAATTTGTCTTGTTCATTAGATTCTTTGGTGCACTGCTTTTGGGGGATGGCCAGTCTTCTTTTGTACATTAGACCTACTCTATTTCGATATATTGTTTTGTGTATTTGATTTTTGAATACCAAATTTGGAGAAAGATTCCTGGAACAACCTTAGGAGGTGGTTGGCAGAGAAGAATCAAGTGACTACCGAGGGTTTCATGTTGAGTGGACTTCGGGGTTCTGGTACCATAGCTAGAGCTGTTAGTTCAAAGCGTCGAACATTATTAACTCTGTTCATTTATATTTCATGGATTCTTCTCTTGCGTAGGTCAAGTCTGATATTCTGATTCAGCCTTTTAAAACTTACCTCAAAGTTGTCCTGTCTACATATTTTTATTTAATATTTTGTGTTCCATTGTAGTCTGGATCCATTTTTGCTGCTGCTGGTGATTCTTATGCATACTGCTGGGATCCTATCCATGATCTGAGACAACGTATGTGGTTGGAGTTGCTTAAAAATTATGATTGTAATATCCGTTACCATCCCGGCAAAGCGAATGTGGTTGTTAATGCTTTGAGCAGAAGATCCATGGGGACTTTGACCAGGTTATGTGTGGTCAAACTTCCAATAGTTACGGAAGCCTAACAAATAGCTAGCCAAGGGGTTTGTCTCGATGAGAAGTATGATGGAAGGTTGATAGCAAGTATCGGTGCTAAGTCTACTTTAGTAGAGCAAGTTAAAGCCAAATAATTTGATGACCCTAGCTTGCTTAAGCTCAAGGAAGGTGTCCTCAGTGGCAAGATTAAGAATTTTGCACTTGATGAGAATGGTGTGATGAGACTTGATGGCCGCTTATGCGTGCCTAATGTGGAAGATCTTCGAAGAGAAATTATGGTAGAAGCTCATAGCTCCAGATATTCAATACATCCAAGTTCTAACAAAATGTATCATAATTTGAGGGATGTTTATTGGTGGAATAGTATGAAGCGAGATATTGCAGATTATGTATCACAGTGCCTAATCTATCAACAAGTAAAAGCTGAACACCAGAGGCCAGGTGGCTTAGCTCAAGTCATTGAAATACCATAATGGAAATGGGAGAGCATAAATATGGATTTTGTGGTGGGCTTGCTGCGAACTTTTAAGAAACACGACTCTATTTGGGTTATAGTTGACCGACTCACTAACTCAGCTCACTTTTTACCAGTCAAAATAACCTCCACGGCACCCCAGTATGCAACATTATACATAAAGGAGATTTGCTCGGTTTCATGGTTCTCCCATGTTTATTATTTCTGACAGGGGTGCACAGTTTACTGCCCAGCTCTGGCAGAGTTTTCAGGAAGGTCTCGGTACCCGAGTTAATCTAAGTATAACTTTTCACCCTCAAACGGACGCGCAGGACGAGAGGACAATTCAGACATTGAAAGATATGTTACGAGCATGTGTTCTTGATTTTAAAGGAAACTAGGATGATCATCTACCTTTGATTGAGTTCGCATATAATAACAATTATCAAGTGAGCATTCAGATGTCCCCATTCGAGGCCCTATATGGGAGGCGATGTTATTCGCCTGTATGGTGGTTTGAGTTAGGTGAAATGAAGCTTATTGGGCCAAACATAATACATGATGCCTTAAAAAAGGTGAAACTTATTCAGGAACAACTTAAAATAGCTCAAAGCCAACAAAAGTCATACTCAAATATAAGACGCTGCGATCTTGAGTTCAAAGAGGGTGACTATGTATTTTTAAAGGTGTCTCCAATGAAGGGTATCATGAGATTTGATAGAAAAGTGAATCTTAGCCCAAGATATATAGGGCCTTATCCAATTCTTAAAAGGATTGGGCTTGTAACGTATCGACTAGCTTTACCTATAGAGTTATCTTCTGTGCATCCAGTTTTTCATGTGTCCATGCTGAAACAGTACTTTCACGACCCGAGTCATGTACTTGATAGACAGGAGATAGAGGTTGATGATACTCTGACATATGAGGAGGTCCATGTAGCTATAGTAGACAGGCAGGTTCGTAGACTTCAAACCAAAGACGTTGCTTTGATGAAAGTAACATGGAGTAACCACTCAGCTGGGGAATCTATGTGGGAGCTCGAGGAAGCCATGAAGAAAAAGTATCCTTATTTGTTAGAAATTTCTAGTAAATAATTCATTTTAAGCTTTAAAATATTTAGATTGTCAAGTTATGTGATATTTGTACTTATAATGATGTAAAATGGCTTTGGCAGGTATATGGGTGTGTCTTGAAGTTGTATATTATTAGATTGAGTAGCTGGAGGTGCAAAGTATTATTGTTCGATTGGTTTGACAGGTTGATTTTTTTTTTGATATCTCAAGTTACAAAGGAAACTCTGCCGAAAGTTTTGAAAATTGTAGAAGTTAGTCAAATTTTGGGGGTAATAAAGGATGGTGTGAGTAGCGCAATGTCATGACCCAAACTAACTCCTGTCGTGATGGTGCCTATCGTGGAACTAGGCAAGCCGACTCATTTCCAAAACAAATCGATGTTTTCATTTCAAAGATAATTTAAATGTTATTTAACATAAAAACCTTCGTAAAGGAATTCAAATCAAAATAAAAGTGCGGAAGGAAAAGCCCGACATCGGGATGTCACTAGTCATGAGCATCTACTATATTCTGTCTAACAATATCAAGGCTAACTCAGCCTAGAAAAATAGCTAAATACGACTAGAGAAGGATAAGAGGGAGAAGAGCAGGGGCTGCGATCGCGCGGGTGCGAGAAAATGGCCGCAGGTGTGAGAAGACTGAGGGTACATATTGCACACTTTGCGAATTTTGGTGCATTCTTCACCATTTCTTTTCGGTTTTTGGAGCTTTTGGGAAAGATTTGAAGAGGGAATCAAGGGGGCTTCGTTGAGGTAAGTTACCTGAGCCCCAATACTTGTATATATGGTGATTTTCCATTGTTTAATCATTGTAATTAGTGAAAATGAGGGGTTAGGGCTTGGGATTTTTGGAGATGTAATTTAAGGATTTGAATGACCAAACGATATCGGATTTTGATGAATTTGGTATGGTTAGACTCTTGAGTGAATGAGCTTTCTAGTTTTGTGAATTTTGCCAGATTTTGAGACGTGGGCCCGGGGGCCGGGTTTGAGTCAATTTCGGGTTTTGGTCTAATTTTGAAGCTTTTCTTGCGGAATTCATTCCATTAGCGTATATTGATGGTATTGTACTGATTGTGAATAGATTTTGAGCATTTAGAGGTCGAGTCCAGAGGCAAGAGCATTGCGGGGTAGAGATTTGACCGGTTTGAGGTAAGTAAAAATTGTAAATGTAGTCCTGAGAGTACGAAACCCCGGATTTTGTATCATTCAACTATTTTTAGTGACGCACATGCTAGGTGACGGGTGTGTGGGCGTGCACTGTTAGGGATTGTGACTTGGTCCATCCCGTAGAAACTGTAAAGTTGCATACTTTGTTGACACTATATGATACTTATATGTTATAGAAAGAGTTTCTGTAAATTGGACTGAATGCCATGTTTGGGCCTTGCGCCAGTGCTGTTTGGACACTTAGTGGCTGTTTCTTACTATCCTCTCATTGTTTTCGATTGAAAATCTATACTCAGTCATGTTTATACTTGTTTACCGCATAACTCAGTTTTATGACTCTATTTTGATGCATATAAATGTTTCGGGCCGAATGCCCTGTTTTACTGAAATGCCCGAGAGGCTTGAGAGGTTTATGACTGAGTAAGGCCGAGGGCCTAATTGTGAGGATGAGTGTGGATCGGGGATGCCCGCCTGCAGTATACTTTATTATTATAGCACGTGAGTTGTCCGTGCAGATTATAGCACTTGGGATGAAGGAGCCCCTCCAGAGTCTGTACACACCCCTAGTGAGCGCAGGTACCTACTGAGTGCGAGTGCCGAGTGACTGGGAGGCATGAGTGATTGTGAGGTATGCCCGAGTGGCAAGAGTGATTGTGAGGTATGCCCGAGTGGCACGAGTGACTGTGAGGTTTGCCCGAGGGGTTGTATATGAGTGATGTTTTTCCCGAGGGGCTGTTTATGATTACAACATTTTTGCTCACCTTTTCATGTTTCCTCTGTCTGAAAACTATTGAAAGATATCTTTAAATGATTTTTACTAGAACTGGATTAAACGAGATGTTTTGATTCTAATCCTGATTTTAAAAGCATGTGGTATTTTACTGAGATTTTCCGATATGAATGTTATATGCTTTATTGCTCGTCACTACTGCTCAGTCTTTATTTATTGTTATTACTTAGTGAGTTGGCGTACTCACGTTACTCTCTGCACCTTGTGTGCAGATTCAGGTGTTGCTGGACACAGTAGCGGTTATAGATTGTTCTGGTGGCAAATTTTCTTTGAGATAGTAAGGTAGCTGTTTGGCGATCGCATCCCCTGCTCTTCTCCTCTTATCTTCCTCTAGTCGTATTTAGGTATTTTTCCAGGTTGAGTTAGACTTGATATTGTTAGACAGATTGTAGTAGATGCTTATGACTAGTGACACCCCGATGTCGGGCTATTCCTTCCGTATTTTTATTTTGATTTGAATTCCTTTACGAAGGTTTTTATGTTAAATAACATTGAAATTATCTTTGAAATGAAAACATCGGTTTGTTTTGGAAATGAGTCGGCTTGCCTAGTTGCACAATATGCGCCATCACCATAGGGGTTAGTTTGAGTCGTGACAGATTGGTATCAGAGCCTAAGTTACATAGGTCTCACGAGTCATGAGCGGGTTTAGTAGAGTCTTGCGGATCGGTACGGAGACATCTGTACTTCTCTTCGAGAGGCTGCAGAACCTTTAGGAAACTCCGCATTCTTGAATTCTTGTCGTGCGAATCTGTTGATTCTGGTAACTAAACATCTGTAGTTTCATTCTCTCACAGATGGTGAGAACTCGTGCTACCTGTCAGGAGGGCCAGCCACCAGTACCACTAGCCAGGGCCGTAAGAGGCCAAGGTCGCGATAAAGGTCGTGGTAGGGGCAGAGGTGCAGTCCGTACAGCAGTTGGGGCAGTACCTGCGATCTACCGGTTATCCCAGATCAGGACCAGGTTCCAGTTGTTGATGCACCAGCTCGGGCACCACCTGTGCCTATTGTGATTCCAGGCCTTCAAGAGGCCCTACCTCAGATTCTGATAGCATGTACTGGCCTTGCTCAGGCGGTCTCTATTTTGACGGCCGCATTCACTTCTCAGGCCAGGGGAGCCACTCAGACTCCCGTCGCTCGCACACCCGAGCAGGTTATTCAGGGACTTCAGACACCGGAGGCACCACCAGCCCAGCCAGTTGCTGTTGCTCAGGATTATGTGGTTCCTGCTATGCCTGAGGATGATCAGCGTAAGTTGGAGAGGTTTGGGAGACTCCAGCCACCACCCTTTAATGGCACAGAGAGAGAGGATGCTTAGGACTTTTTGGACAGATGTCAGAGGATATTCCGTACTGCTGGTATTTTGGAGACTTGTGGGGTCTCATTCACTACCTTTTAGTTTTCTGGGGCTGCACTCAGATGGTGGGAGACTTACGAGAGGCATAGGCCTGTTGGTGCAGCACTCCTTACTTGGCAGCAGTTCTCCGTGGTCGTTTTGGAGAAGTTCGTGCCTTGATCCCGCATAGAGGAGCTGCGCAGATAGTTTGAGCGGCTTCGCCAGGGTGATATGTCTGTGACACAGTATAAGATAAGATTCTCTGAATTGGCCCGTCATGCTATATGCCCGGTTCCCACGGACAGAGAGAGAATCATGAGGTTTATTGATGGCCTCACTTATCAGCTACAGTTGCTCATGACCAGGGAGCGGGTTTCGGGTGCTACCTTTGATGAGGTTGTCAACATTGCTCGGTAGATTGAGATGGTTCGCGGTCAGGAGAGGGTTGAGAGGGAGGCCAAGAGGCCTCGTGGTCAGGGTGGATTCAGTGGTGCTCCTTTTAGGGGTCAGTTCCAGCACGGTAGAGGTCATCATTTCAGACATGCTCAGTCAGCTCGGCCATTTCATTAGGGTGCATCATCTGGCCATGGTTCTCACAGTTCTCATTAGGGCCACTCATTACTTAGTGCCCTTCCAGCTCAGAGTTCGCCCCGTGCTCTACCTGTTCAAGGCTCTTCCATGCCAGGTTCTTCTACCAGTTATCCCGGTGCTAGGGGTTCCCTTCAGTTTCCGCCGTTAGCACCAAAGAGTTGTTTTGAGTGTGGGGAGCTTGGGCATATATGGAGGCAGTGTCCTCGTCGTCATAGAGGTCTATCTCAGTAGAGGAGTCAGCCTTCGACTACAGCACCAGTTACCTCACCACCCGCCCAGTCAGCTCGGGGTGGAGGTCAGTCAGTTAGGGGTCGCCCTAGAGTATGAGGCACATCAGGGGGTAGTCAGGCCCGTTTCTATGCCCTCCCTTCCAGACCAGATGCTATTGCTTCCGATGTTGTGATTACAAGTATTGTCTCAGTTTGTCATAGAGATGCCTCAGTATTATTTGACCCTGGTTCCACGTATTTATTTGTTTCCTCGTATTTTGCCCATTTTTTGGATATACCCCATGATTCTTTAATTTTCTTCAGTTTATGTATCTACTCTTGTGGGTGATACTATTATTGTGGACTGCATATATCGGTCATGTGTGGTGACTATTGGAGGTCTGGAGACCCAGGTGGACCTTTTGATGCTCAGTATGGTCGACTTTGATGTGATATTGGGTATGGATTGGTTATCTCTATGTCATGCTGTTCTAGATTGTCACGCTAAGATAGTGACGTTGTCTATGCCGAGAATTCCGAGGGTTGAGTGGAGCGGTTCTGTAGATTATGTGCCAAGCAGGATGATTTCATATTTGAAGGCTCAACGCATGGTTGAGAAGGATTGCCTATCTTATTTGGCTTTTGTGAGGGAAGTTAGTGCAGAGACTCCTGCCATTGATTCTGTTCCGATAGTACGTGATTTTCCGAATGTGTTTCCTGCAGACCTACCGGGCATGCCGCCTGACAGGGATATTGAATTTGGTATTGATTTGGTGCTGGGCACTCAGCCCATTTTTATTCCACCATATCATATGGCACCGGCGGAGTTGAAGGAATTGAAAGAACAGCTTCAGGAACTCCTTGATAAGGGGTTTATTCGGCCTAGTGTGTCACCTTGGGGTGCACCGGTTCTATTTGTGAAAAAGAATGATTGTTCTATGAGAATGTGTATTGATTACAGGCAGTTGAACAAGGTCACAGTCAAGAACAAGTATCCTTTACCTCATATTTATGATTTATTCGACCAACTTCAGGGAGCGAGGGTGTTCTCCAAGATTGATTTGAGGTCCAGTTATCACCAGCTGAAGATTCGGGATTCAGATATTCTTAAGACAGCTTTCAGGACCCGATATGGCTATTATGAGTTCTTGGTGATGTCTTTTGGGTTGACCAATGCCCCAGCAGCGTTCATGCATTTGATGAACAGTGTATTCCAGCCCTATTTGGATTCATTCATTGTTGTATTCATTGATGA